TTTGGCTACGGCCTTGGCTATGGCCGTGGCTTTGGCTATGGGCTGGGCTGTGGCTATGGGCTGGGAGGCCTTGGCTGCTATGGCAGAAGGGGTGGCTACACCTGCTAAGGGCCCTCGGCACCACCCCTGACACCACCAGCTCAGGGCTCTGGCAACAGCTCCTGCAAGCAACACACCTCAGCTGATGGTCGCCCTGCCTGCACAAAACCGTGGATCCCTTCGACTTATTTCTCTTGTCTCTTCAATCTTTTAACTCAATAAAGCTCCTTTGCATCAAAGTCTGAAATGTCTTCTCCTCTTTTTAAATTGTGGTGGTCTTACATCTTCACGCTCGACAGTGCCAGACAGGGCATTGCAGGGGATGGAAAAGGGGATGAACACATTTCTTGGCAAAGATGTGACCACCATTAACAATCAAGACTGGGACAGGAAGCAGGGGATGCAGTGGAACCTTCCAGAACATGATACAAGTCGATCACCTGCTACACCAAAGCCTTGGACACATTAATGCTCTCTTGAGCACAGCTCTGCTAAAGTCTCCCCATGCCAGCACACATTTGACAAAGTCTCTTCCCAGCAGGACTCTTGAACTCTCTCAGCAGAGTCACAAAATCATTCACTTGGGCGGGAACTCTGGGGTGCAATTGCTTCATTCCCCTCTACTCAATCACAACCAACAAGAGAATGATTTCCAGAACCATGGACAGTTCCATTTCGGCTCTCTCAGCGCAGCAACTCCACCACCTTTTCAACTCTCTGTCCACCCTCAAACTGAAAAATTGTTCCTTTCTTTGACTATGGAATTCCATCTTTTTTCAGTTGTGTCCTTGCCCTCTTTTCCTTTACAACTGCCCTGCTGGGAACAGCCAGACTCCCTTGAGTTCATTCCCTGCCATCAGGGATCTGCACACACTGATGTCACTCCCCTGTCCAGCCTTGTCCCCTGGGAGTCCCAGCTCTCTCAGCCTCTCTTCTATGACAAATTCTCCAGCCCGTTCAGTATCTTGGTGGCCCTGCATTTTTCTGAATTAAATTTCCCTAATAGGAAACTGAACCTCCCCTGGGGCAAGTTATGTCAATTTTCTCTTCTCCTATGGTTCGGAAAAGGGAGAGAGGTCTGATGTTAAACAATTTCCATTCGGACAACTACAGAGACCAACAAGACTAATCCTTTTTCTGCAAATTCAATGTCTCCAGTTCCCTCAACTTCACCTCACTTCTCCTTTTCTCCAGTTTTCCATTCCAT